TTGAGTTGCGCGCCGTTGTGATAAAATGTATAGCGCGCAATCTATCACAATTGTTAGCTTAAACAATCGTTGTCCTAAATATAGGGTCATGGGTTCGATACACAACTGCAACCAAAATTCAAGCGTTTAAAAAAAATTACATTTCACTACGGGTATATGTTAGAATCGTTGTGGTATATATAAGAGTTTATTATAAAATATGGTATTACTTATTATTAAGATGATAATATGAAAAATTAAAATATTCTTGAAAAACAACTTAAACGGTCCAATGTTTTTTGAATTGCATGTATATTGTAATTCATGATTTCCTCATTAACCCATAGAATTTGATTCAACCCAAAATTCCTCAAAGTAATGTTGATGAATATATGTCTTCTAAGTCTTTCATGCAAAATTTAATTTCCTCTTCTTTTCTAGTTTTTTTTTCAAACATTAAGATTTGTGTGAAAGACTCAGACTGACATCCATTTATCTACACTGTTTTGAAGAATTTGTGGCATCGAATCAAATTCTATAGTCCAAAGAGGAAATTATAATTTACAAGATGTATAAAATTTGAAAAAACATTGGATCGTCAAAGTTATTTTTCACAGAATAATTTAATTTTTCTAATTATTAACTCAAAGATCTATTTAAATGAATGCACGTGCAATGAGTGATTACTGAAACAAGCAATCACATATGATATAACAAACTCACTAACAAAACATCAAATAATTAAGATAGATTGGGAGAACTTGATAACTAATCGTTCATGAAAATTATGAAGAGTTGAAAATATGTGTTCTCTATGAAAATATTATATGAAAGACCATATTATATTTCCACAGCAAACACAAGTTCGCAAATGTCTTAGATCCATGTTCGCTAATAAGTATTTTCAGCTACCTCACTGATAAGTAGAGACCCATAACCCATTTCTAGTTGCAAATGAAATACCATTTATTAACAAACAACACAAAACAACATCAACAACATACAACAACATATAACAACAATAACATAAAACAACATACATACCTTAAATTGAAAAAATGACTATCTCATTTAAACTCATATCGTCCACAATGAAAGAATGATAAAACTGAGGAGTCAGATACAAACTCGTATTTTTAACCCATAACAACTCATGCGCTTTTCTAAGGTAATTTTCTTCAATCACTTTCATTATAAGTCAAAAATAAACATGATGACATTAACAGCATTACATGGAACATTCACCAAATGAAAAAAATGAGAATCATTTTTAACAAGAAACGTAAACGAAATTGGAATATAAGTTTAATGAATGAATCTCAAGATAACGATTAGTGAAGACGAATATGAAGGTTGCATTATGTGTGAAGAGTGACATGGGTGTTAGGATTATGTTTTGAGAGAGAAGAGTGTAATATGTTAGAGTTTCATTTTGAGAGAAACAACAGTTATGTACTGAGTGATAAATACTTTCACTTATATATTAAAAATATCATTTTTATCACGGTTATCTAGAAGAACCATGGTGCAATGAATGGACTATACACCATGGTCGAATAAAACAGTTGTGATAATATACAAGGACATTTCCTTTTTATGACGATAAAATTGAAAACTAAAGGAGCTATGATTCGAATTTTGTAGCTCCTGGTACATTTCACTACGAAGTTCAACAATGACCAAACCAAAAAAGAAAAACGCCAAAAAACGTGATTCTACCACGGTTAACGAAATGTCGTTATAATATTGTTTGACGAAAGATGATTTCCGTAATAGTGATTGATTCTGACGTGATTTGAAGTGTTTGGTTATTCTAAAATAAAATAGATTTTATCTTCATAATTGATTTTAATTGAAACTAAAATTTATATCGTCTGAATTTAAACATAATTTTATTGTAAATTACATTCAAACATAATTTTATTATATTAAATTCAATTCTACCAAAATCAATTATCTTTCTTGTATTGTCAATTCAAGCACCCATTAATTCAAGCACCCATTAGTTAGTTTACATTATAGCACATTGAAAAACAAAGTTGCGGCAAACAAAGGGGAAAATGATTTCAGAGAAGAAGAAAAATTACTTGAAATTGATAAAATGCAATAATTTGGTTATATAATCAATATAGAATATATTTTATATAATAATCACTAAGCTAAACTTTTAACTTACTTGAAGTTATTGTTAATCAAGTGTGACTGCCTATAACCATCTCTAACTAAACACTAAAAAACTGACATTGTATGTTATTTTAACCATTTCTAACTAGATTTTTTATTTATTTTTTATCCCGTAAAAAAACAAGATATTTTTATCTAAATTATAAAAAAATATCAATATTTATTATACTTAATTATGTTGTTTTAATTATCTTTTCTTAAAATTGGTTTTAATTATTTAGTAAAATTACTTATACATCTTTTTGTAAAAGAAAAGATAAAAAACTATACTCTAAATTATTATGTTTTGGAAGTAAAATAAGTATTTATTTTTTTATCTTACCGGATCAGACTTGGACCGTCACGACTGACTCGAACAGAATTTGAGTGAGATGGGGGTACCTGCAAGACACTCCGATGCTAAAATGAGAGACGGAATGAGCAGGCGAAAAATGTATAGGTGCGTAATAGATGAATACCTGACCCTCTGGGAACAGAGGGTATTTATAGCCCCAACGCTGGGCCAAGGTCCCCTCATTGGGCTGACCAGAACTGGCCCAATAAAGAAACTGCCAGGTTCTACGTGCGTAGTGGGGGCCCGCACGTGGTCCCCTTCCTGGTGGTGCTTCGCGAAGAATAAGGAGGGACGAAGACGCGGTCTTTCCGGAGTTTAGAGGATTTGATAACGGTCAGAATAGACAAAATCTACCCTACGGGGAGGGTGCTCGAGCAGGAGTTCCCTTGGTCGTGGACACTGCGTGTCGTGGGCAATGACGGACGTAGTGGCTATAGTATGTTGTCGGACACGTCGGTGGTGACCCACTGTTGAGCATTCCCCGAAGAGCCTGCTTGGATTGAACCTTTATCTGCGCTTTGGGCCGAGGTGGGCCCAGTCCAGAACATTTTTAATTTTAAGAAAATCTATAAACATGGATATCTCAAAGAGATTGTGCAATCTAATTTGATGGCATGTAACAATGTAGATATTATATTGAATGGATATTTCAGGCTTGTCTTTATAGAGAAGAAGAATTTGTTCTTCCTTTATACTCAAAGGATTTTCTTCATAGAGAAGAAGAATTTGTTCTTCCTTTATACTGAAAGGGTTTAAGAGAAAATACTCCCATGGAAAAATTTATACCTCAAAGGGTTTAAGAGAAAATACTTTCACATGGAAAAAGTTTATGCCTTACATACGTGACGGTGTGTTCAACATTCCTCCAACATATCATGGGGCTGTACTTCTATTATCTAGTAGTTTTCTTATCAAGCAAAAAACACAACATCTCCTCTCCATTTGATTTAGGATTCAAATATTCAACTAACTTGCCAAAATCACTAGTGTTGAGTTTTGAAGAAGCATTTGAAGCATTCTTTCCAGAGATGACACACATCACCAAGTTTATCTTGTGTTATATTCTGACTATGGTGTTGGTTTTTCCACTACATCCTGGTCTGCAGATTTTGTGTATGTTGTTATTAATATCTGCGCCTCTTTTTTATTTTCCCGAGCCAATTCAAAATTCTTCGGGCATTGGTGTTACTTGTGCTGGAGATTCGTATCTAAAAAGAAACCAAGAGTTAGAGTAGTTGATGTGAATTTGGATGGTTTGTCTGAAGTTTTTGACATTTTGGTTGAAACTAATCATGTCATATGATGGTCATTAACACACAGTGGTGATGATCATGTACAAACTATATATTTTCTCTTTTCTTTGTTTTGACAGTTTTTTATGTGCACATTTTGAAGTTTGAAATGTGTATAGATGGTTTGTTGATTTGCATTATTATGAGTTATCTCAGGAGTTTCTTTCTTACCAAGAAAGAACATTAAAAAATTATCAAACTTGTACACGATTTAAGATATGTTTGAATTGGTGATAAATGATAGAACGAAGTAAAATGGTAAATAATGAAATTCTTTTGTTTGAATTTGCAAATAATTGATAGAACAGATTGAAACATGATAGAATCCATTTTCATCCAATTCTTCAATTTTCATTTCATTTGATTTTGGATATATGTAATGAACTATTTTGTTTTGTTCCATCAAATTATAAAAAGCTATCAAATGTTTTCAACACCTCTCTACTTCATTCTATCATATGTTTCATTCCGCTCTACTATATTTCATCTATCCAAACATACGTGAAAGATGTAACGTGATCTATACAAAACCCAAAATATTAATATAATTCAAATTCATTCTTCAACCAAAGTGAGATAACCAAGTACTATTGACAGAACAGAAAGTGGTCTATGAATCCTATTTAAACCACACTTCCAAAAACACATGCCATCATTCTTGAATCCTATACTATAAAGAACAAAAAGAGTTTAAGCACCTAAAAACAATAGAAAGCATTCAGAAACTTCATTTTCAATGTCCTTTCATGTTTCAAAAGTGAACTATGGTTTCTACAATAAAATGTTCATTAGATTCCCTTGCATTACACGTGATAATGCCCAGCATCAAAACACAACAACAGAACATAGACATATTAAATTAAGCACATAAAATTCATAATTTCTTCAAGAGATATCATATAATAATTTAAATACAAGGCAGCAACACTAGAAAAAGAAAATCAAACAATAAAAAACTACTATACTAGACTCACCCAACAATACATTAATCTAAAACTAATCAAGTTCCAAAATTTACCATAATCAAAATAAAAAAGAGTGGTCACATATGAATATAGCAAGTAACATCATTATATCAACCTACCTAAAACAAAATCTAAACTAGTCAACAAAAAAAACAAGCATGATTTCATCTCATGAGGCTGCAAATGCAAACACAGAATCGAAAAAGCTCCAACCTTTATTTCCATCATTACCACATATAGATTTATCTACGATTCCGAAGGCGAAGCTATGTTGTTGTTAATGTTGTTGTTGCTATTACTCTTATGAAGTTTTCTCTTCTTGTTCTTCTCAGAAACCGCCTTGGCAAATGCTTCAACAATTCTCTGCTGAGACTCAAGAATCATTTCAGTCCGCTTCATCTCCATCTCCATTCGCATCGTTTCGATCTCTCTAGCCATCTCCATCTTCATCTGCTCCATCCTCACAAACCCATCTCTCAAAACCTTAATAGCATTCACCATTTCACCAATAGGGTCTCTTTCTCTTTCTCTCTCTACATCTCTCTCCCTCTCTCTCTTCCCCAACCCAATCTTCTCCTTCACAAGCCTCGTTCCACCGTTGATATAACCGCGAGAACCCGATTCCATCTGGTGACTGTTCATGTTCACGTTCATTTTCTGATGGTGTCCGCCGTAGAATTTAGATCCAGGTTGTGCAACACTCACACCAGTTGGGATCCGGATCCGGAATCCACCACCAGAAGATCCATTCCGGTAGAATTTATTTCCAGAACCGCTTCGGAGTTCCTCGTAAAGATCGTCGTCATCGAAACCATCGTTATCAACTAGGGTTTCACGGTGGTTGAGATGGTTATGATTTTCAAGTTTGGGCGGTGGAGAAAGTGGAGAAGGTGGAGAAGGAGGAGAAGGACCTTTTTCCATGGAATCCATGGATTTGAAATGAGCCCAAGAAGAAGACGAACGAGATCTCGGAATCGGAAGAGATCTGAGCCGTTGAATCTCAGATCGGTAACGTTTTCTCAGTTTCTCCATTTTGTGACGGCACTGAACGGCGGTTTTGCTCGTCGGCGAAGCGTTAGGGCAACAAGCGGTGACAGCGTCGGCGACTTCCTGCCAATGGATGGCTTTGAGATTCGTTCGGCCGAGAGAGTACCATTTATCACGGTAAGCGTCGATTAGGGCGGAGGTTTCCTCCGGTGTCCAGCAGGGTGGAGGAAGACGACGGGAGGTGGTTGGTGGTGGTGGTGGTGCAGGTAGGGAAAGTGGAAGAGGAACGGCGGAAGGAGGGTTTGAATCGGTGGGTGAAGAAGCAGACATGGTCGTGGCGTAAGATAGCAAAGGGGGGGAGAATGGAAGAGATTGGAAATTTAGGGTTGTGATGATGGTGGAGGAGGAGGGAGAGAGGGGAATATATCGGGAGAAAAAAAGGGTGACATGGTGGTTGGGTTGGGTTGGGTTAAAGAGGGTGGTGCGGCAGGAAAAGTGACGTGGGTGGATGAGGAGGCCACCACCGCTTAGGTGAGAGGGAAGTAAGGGCTAACGTGCGCGGAGGGGTGGAGAGGTCCACACCTCTGACTTTGGTTGTTGTTATTATCATGATCGTGATCATCAAAATTAGATACATCTTTTGTGGGACTTTGGCTATAGTCTAGAGTAATGTGTTTGTCACAATTAAAAATAAAAGAAAAATTTACTCACATGTCATTTCTTGGTTTCGTTGGGGATTATCGAATGGTGGGTGGGTGAATTTTGGTTTCACATTTTTTAGCAACTACTACTACTTTTTTTTTAATTGGAAGGTGGTGTTTTGGTTTCATTCACCGATAAATAAAAGGTGATGTGGTATTTTCCTTTTTCATTATTGATATAAAAATAAGTGTTACTATTAGTGGTGGGGTAAGGAATTATTTTGTATTTTATTGGTGGCAAAAATAAGAGATGGTAAGTGGATAAAATTATAGATTCATTTTAAAAACATCTGAAGTTAATCAAATTTTTATTAAATATATGTTTCTACCAAAATTTAATTTTAATAGTATTGAAATTATATTACCTTTTATTTATTTATATTATTTCCCTTTGATACGTTAGTTAGTTACATATGAGTGTACTAGTTAGTTAGTTATCTTTTGTAAGTTTAGTTGTTGGAAAGACACGGAAGGTTATCACAACTTTGTTAGTGAACAATGGAGACATGTGAAGATAGAAGTTTAGGGTGTTTATATTAAAAGAAAAATTGAAGTTAGTAAAGAAGCAGTTCAAGGTTTGGCATAGAGATCACATGCAAAACCTTCAGGGAAAAGTCAAAGAAATAAAAGGAGAATTCAATAGACTTGAAATTAAAGAAGAAACTGCAGGCCTATTGGGGGGAGGAGTTACTATCTTAAGAGATAAAGATGGGATCAAATATTCAAATTATTAAATCTCAACTGCAGAATTCAATAGCAAAAATCAAGAGCAAGATGTTTTAAGGAAGGAGATGTAAATATTAAGTTCTTCCACAGCTGTATCAATAAAAGAAGAAGAGAGAACGAAATATTAAATTTGGAATTGAAGGGTAGATTGTTAAGAGAGGTGGATGAAATCAAAAATGTAATTTGTGATACGGTAGCAGAACCGGAACTGTTTTAAGACAATGCTGGTTTGTGTTTTGCGTTTGTGTTCGTAAAATGTCGCGGTAAGCAAAAGTCGTCACCGACTTTTATTTTATCCAACTGGAAAGGAAAAAAAACACAGAAAAATTCTTTTTTCGAGATTTTGAGTACGGGGGGTAGATTATAGAAAGGGAAGGTATTAGCACTCTTTCTATCCGTAGTTTTCTACGGGCTCTTAGGTACTTGCTCATCATTTAAAATTGCATGTGTGTGTTTGATTTGAAAAAAAAAGTTTTGTTTTACTTTGATTTAACCCTTGCTTCTGTCTTCAAGAGTGTTACGAATTCGTTTTGAAAACTTTAGTTTGAAAAGTTTGTTTGAAAGTGTATGGTGTAAAGAAGTTCGTTTTGAGCAAGTACCTACTAGCATCTACCTACTCGAAAAAGAGAATGTTTCTGTTCTTGTTTCCTTTAGACAGCGTTATCCCACTATTAGTGAGTAGGTAGTACCGTCGTTGGAGTTGTAAGGGTCAATTCGAAAGGGACGTACGATCACTAAAGCAACGTTAGGACGTCTTAGTAATAACCCTAATGTCTTAAGATCGATATTCGAGGCAACATTTCCGAGGCAACCTTTCCGAACGGGACCTTTGATCTTTGTTTAGACAAGAGAGCGACCACTAAAATACCCTATACTTTAATGATCGTTTACCGAAGGTAACCGAAGTGAGAGTATACCCTAGAAGTGCGCATGTGCGGGTGATTCAATTTCAAGTTATTATCTTTGCACATTTAGGGTTTGCTAACCATTTTAAAATTTACATACAATCTTTGTCATGCAATCCTAATATCATACATATAACAGTTAATATTTACGAGAATTAAAATGCGGAAAGTAAAGCTACGTTATTACAAGGCTTCAGGATTAATTACATAGCCAAAAAACTCATAAAATGATAAACGAACGAAAAAGGTCCTGTGATACGGTGGGAAGAACTGACTGTTTTTGGAATGCTGGTTTGCGTTTTGCGTTTGTTTTTGCAAAATGTCGCGGTAAGCAAGAGTCGCCACCGTCTTTTATTTTATCCAACAAGGAAAGGAAAAAAGCACAGAAAAATTCCTTTTTTGAGATATTTCTGAGTACGGGGGGGTAGATTATAGAAAGGGAAGGTATTAGCATCCTTTCTATCCGTAGTTATCTACGGGCTCTTAGGTACTTGCTCAATTGTTTTTAAAATTATTTTCTTTGTGCTTGTGGGTTTGAAAAAGTTTTTTTGTTTGAAACTTCGATTTAACTCTTGCTTCTGTCCTCAAGAGTGTAATGAAGTGTTTTGAAAACTTTGTTCGAAAAGTGTAAGTGTGAAGAGTTTTGTTTTGAAAGAGCAAGTATCTAAGAGCTATCTACCTACTCGAAAAAGGAATTGTTCTATGCTAATTTCCTTTAGACTATGATATCCCACTATTAATAAGTGGGTAGCACCGCCGTTGGAGTTTAAGGGTCAATTCGAATGAGGGACAGACGGTCACTAAAGCAATGTTAGGACGCCTTAGCGGTAACCCTAAAGTCTTAGATCATTTGTTTGAGGCAACAATATCCGAGGCAACCGTTTCGAGGCGACTATGATCTTTTAGACAAGAGGGCGACCTCTAAAGCGACCTATACTCAATGACCATATACGAAGGCAACCAAGTGGGGTGTACCCTAAGAGTGCGCATGTGCGAGTGTGTCGTTTTCAGTTATTTTTATCTTTGCACATATTAGGGGTGATCTAATTTGATTTTAAGATTAAGCATTCAGTCTTGTCATGCAAACCCTATTATCAAACATCTAGCAGTTATAATTTGCGGAATTAAACTGCGGAAATTAAATTACAACGCGTCGGGTATTTACATCGCCAAAAGCAACCCTTTGAAAATAAAATAAAATAAAGCGGTAAAATAATTAAATGTCCTAATTAATTATTCTATTACATACCGGAAGCAGATACATCAATATGGATAAAAAATAAATAAAGCGTGACGCGAAGTTAAATCGAACGCGAATTAAGGTTTTGACCCTTTTGAAAGAAAATATTTTTTTTATTGTTTTTATTTAAGAAAAGAATTTAAATTCTAAATTAAATGCTAAATTAGAAATTAAATGAATTAAATGAAAAAATAATTAAAGACATATTTTTGGGGGTTTTATTATTTTAAGAAAGAAAATAAAATAATTAAATTAGTAGTTAAAACCTAATTAAATCTAATTAATTTTATTTATTTACAAAATAAGTTAAAGTTTACTAGAATTAAAAACCTAATTAATTAATTAGTGTTTTTTAATAAAAATAAAAATAAAATTCTGAATTAAAAAAAAAAGTATTTTTTTGTGATTTTTTAAATAAAAAGAAAAAAAATGTTATTGGTTAGAAATTAATAAAAATAAAAATAATGTAATTAAATAAATAAACAAAATATAAAGAAAAGAGAGAGTGGGCCTGATTTTGAAGGGTGTAAGTAGCAATTCTGTAGGCCCATTAGAAGCTGGTCCGTTTGACCTTTGAGATTCCCTGTATGTGCGTTGACTTGCTTAGGATGGACCTTCAATCACTGACCATCAGATCTGGCCATTGGCCATCTGGCATGTTGAGGAGCGAGGCGCATGGTGGGCTGTGGATTCATGTATGCACTAGATCTCCTGAAAAACAACAAGAAAAGGAAAATTGTTGTAGACAGGGATCGAACCCCTGACCTCCAGCCTTGGAACGCCTTAAGACTTGAGTGGCTACCACTGCATCATGTTGCTTTGTTTATTATAATAATAATAACACAATATAATATATAGAAACAAAGTATCTGGTCTGAAAAAAAAAACACGCAAAATATTTGAATGACCCAATGGATGGATGACACGAGTTCATCCCTTTCCTCAAAACCTTGTAAATTTACCTGCGGATTTTCATCCGCAACTAAAAACGTAGCATCATTCAAAAATCCTCCTCAGGCTTTGAAAATAATTTCTAAGGCTAGGGTTGAGTTCGTCTCAACCCCCTGGACGCAACCATGTCCATCATGTAGCTCAATTTCACCTGAAACGAAAACTCCCAAAAACGTCCAAGAAACCCTAACTATGGTGGTTTGTAATACATGTTAGATAAATGAAATTAAATGATGCCAAAAGCTTACAAATGTTCTTGTGATCACAAATATGACATTATTTTACCCAATGGATGCCAGAATAGTGATTTACGATTTCAAGAAGGAAGCAGATCCGTGATGTACTTACAGTGCTTTAGGATGTTTGGAAACGCGTGGTTAGGATTGTATTAGCTTCTGGAGATGGTCAGAAATCGATTGAGACAACTCTCAAGTCCTGAAAATGTCTCCAACCTTGATTTCGATCTCCCACTTTTTTGTGATTTTTGCAACTCTTGTTTTGCCTCCTCGGGTGATTTCTAACCCTGATTTCCGTGCCTCTAGCTTCCTTATGTATTGCACATTGGATTAGGTTAACAAGCTTTGTCCAAATCTCTCCATATTGATGATTACATATTTGATTTGATCTTCCATGAAAACCTTTCCAAATTTGATCCAAATCATATATTCTTGTGCATAAAGACCTTGATACGAATTCAATTGCCATGATAGCTGTATTTGGAGCCTGAAATAGCCAAAAAATCATGTGTTATCAATGCTTTAGATTTTATATGATTTTATTTGATTTAAAATGAATTAATTCAAATAA